TTTTTTTTTTTTTTTTTCAACGTTTATTTATTTTTGGGACAGAGAGAGACAGAGCATGAACGGGGGAGGGGCAGAGAGAGAGGGAGACACAGAATCGGAAACAGGCTCCAGGCTCTGAGCCATCAGCCCAGAGCCCGACGCGGGGCTCGAACTCACGGACCGCGAGATCGTGACCTGGCTGAAGTCGGACGCTTAACCGACTGTGCCACCCAGGCGCCCCTCCTTACTGCTTTCAAGAACAGTTCTTAAGAGTGGCATTTAGAATTCTTCAGAACCTACTTTTTGAGTCTCCTCTTCAACAGTTTCTCACTATGAGACTTTTCGGATGAGGTGAGGCAGATTTTGTAACTATTCTGCCTGTGCAGGTCCCCCAGAGCCAGGATTGGGGTCCTGACTGAAGAGAGGCAGCTGGCTCTCAGTGAACCCTTGGGTTCACAACCAGGGTTGTGGGAGCGGATGGGGGAGAGCAAGGCTGAAGCCTGTGTGGCTTTCTCAGCACCATTGCCCAAGGCACATTTATACAGCACTGAGCCCTGATCCTGGTTACAGTGGAACAGCGCCCCATCTGAAGCTAAAAGTGCCTGGGGATAAATCTGACTCTACGACTCCCCTGACCATGGGCAAATAAAGTGGGAATAATCGTTGTCTGCATCCCATAGGGTTGTTGAGAGTATGAAATGAACCAGACACTGGTAAACAGAATGGTGTCTGGCAGATAGTGAGCAGTGAATACATATGAAAAGATAGCTATGTTACCTTAGCATTTGTAACCTAACATTTTTGTTTGTGTATTGCCGTACTTTATTTCCTAGATAGAGAATCAATGTAAATTTCAGAATCTCATTCCTTACCCAAGGAACATAATCTGGGGCTTGGGGGGGAGAGCTGTTGGCATCCTGAAATCAGAATTTTTTAACAGGATTCTGGGTTACTCAAATGCTTAAAGTTTGGGAACCACTTTTCTGAACTCTTTCTCAGCCCTTAAAATCCATCTCTGTTTGAGAGCACAGTGGGAGGCCAGGGGTACTGATTCAGCCCCTTTGTGGTTTAGGTAATTCGTTCAGCCAACATTTGAGTGCCTTTCTCGTTGCTGCATTCAAATCCATAAAAATAACATTCCTGTTCTCAAAGTGCTCACACAGTCTTGTCTGTTTGATTCTGTAAATAGTGCTAGTTGCTGAACAAAACAAGCCCCAAATCTTAGTAATTTAGTTAAAAAACAAAACAAGCCACACTTAATCTCATGTTTATAGTCTGTTTGGGGTTGGTGGCAGTGGGGAACCACACTGTACATTTGTTCAGTCGCTGGACTTTTCATGTCTTGTGGCTTGGTCCTTGGGTGCTCTCCATTGAGTCCTCTTTATTCAGCTGGAAAGAAGTTGTATGTGGCTGGTTTCTGTGTTCGTGGCGTGGAAGTGACCTACGTCATTTACGCTCACATTTTGTGGGCCAGGTGTCAGTCACCTGGTCACCTCTGACCATAAGGTGGACTGGGAAGTGTGATCCGTGTGTCTAATCACAACATGTCAGGCGTGCGCTGTTGTAGGGCAGAGTTGTGCTCCCATGGTAGCGGTTCCGTGAGGAAGGTGGGCGTGTGTGGGACACAGATTTGTGGAAAAGGGGTAGTGTGTCCTGAGAACATCGAGAAGTGTTGTGGATGCCCCTCAGTCATCTTGCCCCTCCCTGCTACCTCGTAGTGTTTTTTTGTTGTTTTTTTTTTTAATTTTTTTTTCAACGTTTTTTATTTATTTTTGGGACAGAGAGAGACAGAGCATGAATGGGGAAGGGGCAGAGAGAGAGGGAGACACAGAATCGGAAACAGGCTCCAGGCTCCGAGCCATCAGCCCAGAGCCCGACGCGGGGCTCGAACTCACGGACCGCGAGATCGTGACCTGGCTGAAGTCGGACGCTTAACCGACTGCCCCACCCAGGCGCCCCTACCTCGTAGTGTTTGATACAGTCGTTCAAGACCATGTTCCTCCCCTTTTACATCTTAGCCAACCAACTTTCATACTTACCTCTTCTCCCCAGTCTTGTACTGCATGGACTTAGCTTCTCATTCCATTTCCTGGTTCCATGGCCACTTCTCTGCTGGCCTCTTCATGGGGCTTAGTTTCTGTCTGCTCTTTTCCCCCAAGCTAGCTCCTGTCTGCCGTACTTCCAATGTCAGGGAATTACACGGTTGGACAGTAGAGTTCTTCACTCATACTCAGTACAGGAATCCCTTCCAGACATTGTGCAGTGGGCAGTGTCTCTTAGGCCTTCATACCGAAATACCAGAAATGTTGTATTAAGCCAGTTTTCTTTTGGGCAGTTTCTAGCCATCTGTATCTTTGTGTGTGTGTGTGTGTGTGTGTGTGTGTGTGTGTGTGTGAGAGAGAGAGAGAGAGAGAGAGAGAGAACACAGCACATTGACTCCCCCCCCTCACATGATGGCCTTGTGGTATTCAAAGACCACTGTCATGGACCCATTAAATATTTCAGAGAATTGTCTCTAGTTCCTAGGATGCCTTTAAATGGCAGGGTTTTCAGACCCTCTTCCATCTGGTCAAACTGAATGTGCCTTGGTTTATCAATGTCTTTATATTAATGTGGCTTCTAGAACTAGACCTACTATTCTAGGTTTGCTCTGGCCAGAGGTAGTATTTTAACACTTTGACAATTTAACAAATATTTTTGAGTGCTTACTACACTCGAGGTAATGTTCCAGACTAGGGGTTGGCAAACTGTGATCTGTAGGTCACATCCAGCCTACTGTCTGTTTTTGTAAATAAAGTTTTATTGGAATGAGGCTATGCTCATTCATTTGTATATTGTCTGTGGACTACAACAGTGGAGTCAAGTAGTTGCAACAGAGACTGTATGACCTGCAAAGCCTAAAATATCTATTTCTTTATTCCTATTCTATCTGTTTCTAGCCATAATTATGATCTAGTTCTTTACAGAAAATGTTTGCCTGTCCCTGGTCCAAATTTTCAGGATATAACAGTGAACAAGATAGGTAACAGTCCCTGCCTTCACTTGACTTAAATTCTAGTGAGAGAACAAATAATAAACAAGATAAATAGGTAAAACATAGTAGGTTATAGGTGCTAAGAAGAAAAAATGAGGCAGGGAAAGGGGTCAGGAGTACGTGTATGGGAAAGAGAGGTGGCAGTTTTAGCCAGGGTGGCAAGGGACAGCTTCACAGAGAAGTCCTGCACATTCTGGGGGAGTAGCCAGTGCAAGAGAGGAGGTCTGGAGGGCTCTGTTGGTCATTGGAGGTCTTTGGCTTTCCTTGGAGTGAAGTGGGGACCGCTGGAGAGTTTTGAGAAGAGACACGACATGGTCTGCTCAGGATTTAGTAAGATTATTCTGGCTGCTGTATTGAGAATAGACTGAAGAGCGCCATGGGCAGAAGCAGGGAGACCGGCAGGAGATTCCATGGTGGTTCAGGCAAGAGGTGAAAGTGGCTTTGACCAGGAGGATGGTGGGAGTGGCGGTGGTGTGGAGTTGGATTCAGGGAAGAGCTTATTCGAAGGTAGAGCTGGGCATCTTGGATATTAGGCTGTGGAACTTGAGAGGAAGAGACAGGCAGCGTTGCCTCTGGGTTCAGCCTGAGCACCTGGAAGGATGGAGTCGTCATGAAATGAGCTGCTGAAGGCTGCAGGAGGACCTGTTGGAGAAGAGCAGGAGTTTGGTTTTGATTACGTTAAGTTTGAGATGCCTGCTGCGCACTTAAGTAGAGAGGTTGAGTAGGCAATTGGTCATGAGTCGGGGCTCAAAGGAAGAAGTCTGGGCTGGAGGTGAAATTTCGGTATCGTGAGCAGTGTGTGCAGTTGGGATATATTGGACACACGGTCAACTGACATCAGAGTCCCTGGGACTTATCCACACGCAAACCTCTGTTGTATCTATGTTTAAGTTTATTTTGTTGACGTCAGAGTTCAGCATCTCATTGTTGTCAGTTGGAAGTTCTTTGAAAACTTCTGTAGTCTGAATGCCAGAAAGGGCAAGTCTTGGAACAGTCCTGTGGGTTGTGGCTGATCCACTGATGAACACTGGGGAGTAGATTAAGTTGGCCACAGTTGTTGGGGGAGGTCATGTTATCTGTCTTATGGGAGTCCAGAGGTATTGTATCTACTGGGTAGTCATTATGAACAATCCTACAAAAAAGGAATTGAGGTTAGGTTGGCATGATTTCCCATTTTGTTAAGAAAAAAAATTATTTTAATAAAAAAAGTTTTTAGAAAGCGTGTGAGCAAGGAGAGGGACAGAGACAATCTTAAACAGGCTCCATACTCAGCACGGAGCCTGATGAGGGGCTCAATCCCACAACCCTGGGATGATGACCTGAGCCAAAATCAGAGTCGGATGCTCAACCCACTGAGCTACCCAGGTGTCCCATGCATGATTTCCTCTTAACACAAGCTGGCTCTTGTGAGGTCTTGCTTAAATGTACTTACAGATGCCTCCTTCAAAAGATTGTTGATGTGTATTATTTCTATTAAGCTTGCTAGTTCTCTTGTGTCGTAAGTTCTTACTAGTTAATACATAGCAGTATCTCAACCCTCACAAAAAATGAATTGCCTGGGCCCTCTGTAGGTAAACTTGAATTATCTCTGGGGGTGGAACCCAGGCATCAGTATTTCAAAAATATTCCCTGTGAGTTTCTGATGGACACTGACTGATTAACAGTTTCCCAAAGTCCCAGTTTCAAGGACCACTGACTGATTAACAGTTTCCCAAAGATCAGTCACCTTTCTGTGCATATTTCCATTTTTCTGGTCAAGGGTCCTGAACTGCTCTCATCCTCAAAGCATGAGATCCTTTGCTGCAGGTTCAGAGCACGAGAACTGGTACCATAGGGTGTATTTTCAACCCCAAGTGGACTCAGCAAGTGATTGGGGAGGAAGGGGGCTTGGTATATGGAAGTCTTAGAGATACTCAGTTCTTAGATCTTTATCTAACTCCTTGTTGAAGCTGGCCGTGTCCTCCTTTTGCCCAGACAAGGACATCCGGGAGCTTGGAATTGAGTCAGGTCTGACTGTTTCCAGAGCACGAGCTTCCGCCTCCACTTTGCTGTGTTTATTTTTTCCTCCTGGTCAGACAAGGATGCCTGGATTGATTGAGTTTAGGAGGGTAATTGAGTGGCTATCCCACATTTGTCAATTAAAAGCCTGTGAATATAAAACTGCCCACTTAGGCGCCTGGGTGGCTCAGTTGAGCGTCCAGCTTCAGGTCAGGTCATGATCTGACGGCTCTGGAGTTCCAGCCCTGTGTTGGGCTCTGTGCTGAGAGCTTAGAGCCTGGAGCCTGCTTCAGATTCTGTGTCTCCTCTCTCTCTCTCTCTCTCTCTCTCTCTCTGCCTCTCCACCACTTGCTCTTTTTAAAAAAAAAATTTTTTTTTAAAACTACCCACCTAATGAATTTTATTTGCAGATGTTTATTGGTACATTCTATTGGTCAGAAGGTGACTGAGATTGTATAAGCCCAATTGACCACCTCTTTTAAAGTCTTCTATTGAAGCCATTCTTCACCAAGTGGTCCGTGTGCATTTCTGTCTGTCCTTAATGTAAGAATTTGTAGAAGGGAGATTTATTGATGGCCTAAAATTTTAGGCTGGGCCTTCTTCTCAGTGTCACAGAACCAAATGTGGTATTTATGAGAACTCTGAGTGTTCATTATATGCTATTTGTTCACCTGTAAAACAGATAAATGTATTTTTATTTTTAATTAGTTAATTTTAAAGTTTATTTTGAGAGAGAGGGAAAGAGACAGCAGGAGTAGGGGGAGGCAGTTGTGGCGGGGGGGGCAGAGAGAGGGAGAGAGGGAATGAATGAATCTGAAGCAGGTTCTGTACTATCAGCGCAAAGCCCAATGCTGGGCTTGAGCTTCCAAAACATGAGATCATGACCTGAGCTGAAACCAAGAGTCAGATGCTTAACAGACTGAGCTGAGCCACCCAGGTTCCCCCCCCACCCCCACCCCCCCAGCCCCGACTCCCATTTTAAGTGAATTTTCCGTTATTCGGTTTCCCAGGAGAGAGCATCAGACTAGAGCCGGAGGACCTGCGTGCTAGTCCGTGATCGTGTACTTATTAGTTGTGTGACCTTTGGCAAGACACATAATCATTTCAGGCTTCAGTATTCTACAAATTGGGAAAATTAAACTTAATCTCGGTATGTTCTCGAAGTTATGTTTTAAGTATAATAAACGAATAGAATTCTCTACACTTATTTTTCATCCCCACTTGTAGTCTGGCAGGGCAAGTCAGCAGGGAGGTGTTGTGGAAGTGGTGTCGTGTGTAATGTCCATCTCCGCTGCATGGAGAAGTGACCTGTTTGCAACTGCTCCGCAGAGATTAAGATCTATTAAAAAAAAAAAGCCACAAAGGAGAATATAATTTATACCCAGAACTGGGCAACTAGCTGTGGAAGCACTTTGAAAATTATCAGGTGAGGGGCACCTGGGTGGCTCAGTCTGTTCAGTGTCTGACTTTGGCTCAGGTCATGATCTCACTGTTCTTGAGTTCGAGCCCCACATCAGACTCTGTGCTGACAGTTCAGAGCCTGGAGACTGCTTTGGATTCTGTGTCTCCCTCTCTCTGCCTCTCTCCTGCTCATGCATTCTCTCTCTCTCTCTCTCTCAAAAAATTAAAAACATTAAAAAAAGAAAGAAAATTATAAGGTGGTGGTAACTACATCCACCAGAAGTCTTCTAGAAAGCAGTTTCACAGCAGAGCGAAGTGGTTGAAACTGCTCAAGTCCTAGCTTCTGGCACCTGCCTTTCCGTTAATGGTGCCAACACCCTGATCTTGGACTCCAACCCTGCAGAGCTGTGAGAGACTACATTTTTGTTGTTTAAGTCACCCTGGCTGTGGTATTTTGTTGGGGAGCCCAAGCCGACCGAGGCACCCCACATGCCCCACGGAGGTCTTGGTTGGAGTTAGTGCCCTGGTTGTCATTGATCAGAGCTGTTTTGTTTTGTGGTCATTTGTGCGTTATTACACTGAGTCACTAAGGATTCTGACCCCGCAGCCTTAACCTTCTACTTGACCTGCTTATTATAGACCTGCTGACTCCCAAATTTTGATTCAAATTCAGGTAAAAATCCCCGAAACTTTTCAGACTTGGTGGCCATCCCCTTCAGCCCTTCAGAGTACCTTACTCAGGAGGAGAAGGAGTTCTGTCCCTGGACAGGCAGGCGGGCGTTCCAAGGACCATTCCTGCTCTTGACGTTAGATCACTCACTACTGTTGCTGTTAGTGCCCCAGAACCAGGTTTGTGCATCCGGTGAAGGGCCGTCTAGTGTAAGTTAGGTTCTTTAAGGCGGTGAGATAACTCAGACTTGTGCTCTGAACTTTCTCTCTTACGTCTACATGCAAATTTAACCAAATGGTTTTGCTTCTGGGAAAGCCCCATGCAAGTCCTTCATGTATCCAGTATTAATATTGGGTAACAGATGGCCCGGTTCGCTGGCAAACCCGGAAGCCTCTTGCCTCTCCCCCTTTTGAATATGATGCATTTTACGGTTTTCCTTGAAACCAGTATCTTGAAGAGAAAATTAGTCCCTCTGAGTAAGCCAAATTAGGATCCTCTCCCTCCTTTCTCCTCTCTCTCTCTCTCTCTCTCTCTCTCTCTCTCTCTCTCTCTCTCTCTCTCTCTCTCTCTCTCCCCCTTGAGTGGATGTTGGTCATCTCTGCTAGGAGCCGCTCAGAAAGTGAATTGAAGTCTTGCAGGGAAATTCTTTGCGGCTGCCTCATCTGCACGGTTCCTCGCGAGGGCGGGATTCCTTTCCTGTAAGGGGGAGGCACCGGCTCTGAGAAGCTTCCAGGAAGGATGAGGTGCAGCAGGAAGGAATCCCACAGAGCAGCCGACTCACACGCGCTTTTGAAGAGGGAATGAATCGCCTTTGGCTTCTCGGAAGCCGCGCCCCGCCCCCTCCAGGGCAGAGCCGAGCAGAGCAGAGCTAGCAGCGCAGCGTGGCTACTAAACGTCAGGCCGCGGGGAAGGTGGTGCGTGAGGGGGCGGGGCTCGCCTCGGTCAGATGAAACTCGGACTGGAAAATTTGAGGTGAACCGGAGGCAGGCCAACATGAGCTAGCCCTGGGTCACGCAGACAGAAGGTCTGGTTCAAAGCCATTACGCGGTTTCCTCTCTCACAGCAAATTCCTGGCAAGAATTTCAGGCGAGAGGTGGACGTGAGCGCGGCGCCCTGTGTGCTGAGGGGCTGCCCGCGCCAAGCCTGGTGGACACTGTAAAGACGAGGGAGGCCGGAGCGTTCTTCCAGGACCCTCGCCCCCGGGCGGGCGGCCGCGTGGCCGCAGCTCCTCCCCGTGGCTCCTGGGGAGCTGGTGGCGGCTGGGGGTCCCATGCCACGCTTCCTGCTCGTTCTGTGCTCCCTTCCTCCTCCTGCCCCGTGTTCCCGCCCCGTGTTCCCGCCCGTCTCATGCTCTCTGGAACCATCTCTGCTCCCTCTGCCCCCTTGCATGCTCAGCCCCGTTTACTGGTTTCCACGGAAATCCATCGGCAGTGGGGTTTGGGGATTTTTGGAGATGGAGGTGGAGGAGTATTGGGTGGGCTTTGCCCCGTTTCCCTCCATGTTCTCTCAGTTCCCTTCCCTCTCTGATGTCCCCCCCCCCCCATCGTGGGCACAGCCCTTCTGATCACTCCAGGACTTTGAGCAGTTTTCCATCTTACTGTGTCAGTTCCTGCAGAGCTACCTCAACCGTGATAACGTTTGCCTCCAGCCGAGGAAACAGGCGCAGAGGTTGAATCTTGCGCCCAGAGTAACGCGACTTAGTAAATGGAGCGGACGGGGCTGTGTGGCCAGCTTCAGCGGCAGAAGTCACATGCAGAGGTCCTTGGAAGGCAGAAGAGGGAGAGTTACATTCAGGCGTGGGTTAGCATCAGGAGCTGGTGTGGTGCAGGAACGCCTTCTGGGGACAGGTGGTGCTTGTAAAACTGCATGGTGTTTTAGTTTGTGCAGAAATTCTCCTTCCTGTCCTTACATCCCTAAAAGAAGCGCACCTCCAGAAGCATATTGCATTACAGACAATGACTTCTTTCCCTGGGCTTAGCGATCCCGTGTGGATATTCAGGCTCTGCCTTGACTTCAGACGTGGCCCCTGGCTCCTGATGGATTTTATCAGCCTTGGGTCCGATTGTAGAGAAAAGGGTTTGTGTTCTTTGTTATCCAGGTCTCCTAATAGGCCACCATCCTATGTGTTATTCTGGCATCTTTGTTCTTTAAGGATGTACATGGTTTGGTGTGCCAGCCTTTCTCCTACCCCCGCCCTGGCCACAAAAGGAAAAGAAACCCTACTTTGATTGGGTAGGAAATCAGATTAATAATAACATTTTTTGATTGCCTGATGTCCTAGAGCTGTCGCCAGTCTCTGTTGTTGTTAATTTTTCTTTTCACCTGTACCATGTGGTTCTAACTCTTGGTTTGCCCAGGACAGCCCTGGTTTACATCCTTTATCACACTGTCATTGTTAACAGCACTTCCTTTTACTCTTCAGAGGGTCTTAGATCGGGTGATAAATAATATCGCTTTAACTGAGCTGAAGTTCATATTCCATAAAATATGCCCCTCACGCCGCCATGGAACTTGGGCATCAAATGTGGTCAAGGGTGATGCCAATATTTGCTAAACTTTTACGAGGAGTAATTGCTAATCAAAACCTATGATCACCCCCATCTAAGCGGTTACCCTTGGACCTGTGACCTGTGCTTTATGCGTAAGAATGACGGCTGTGAAAGTTACAGGGAGAGCGTGTGGTCCTGGAGGCGGCCCTTCACAGACCAGGCTGCAGGAGTGTTGACAGGAACGTCTCATGGGTGGTCCATTTCGTGTGGGCTGGAGGGACAATACCCAAAGGGGTCTCCCAGGGTGTATGTGAGTCCAGCCGTTGTAGTCAAGCACTTAGCTTCGCGGTGTGAGACAGAGCAAGCTGGACAGGAGGCCGCGACCAGGGGTCTGTGCTGAGCTGTCTGGGAACCAGGAAAGTCCCCCAAGGTGACACAGACCTTCACTGTCATGGCTGGCTTGGCTGATCACCTGGTTCCAGAACTTTTGGGTGGGCTGATGCCTGAGGGGCCCTACACTTGGGGTCTGCGGAGCTGATGGAGGCTGAGAAGTGGTGCGTTTGTACTTCACCATGGCCAATTAACTGTGTGTGCTCTTGGCCAGATCCAGTCCGAGCCAGTTTCTGTATTCATTGATGGAACATACTGCTTACTAGTAACTGTGTGGGTGGACAGGAGGGGTCCTGAAGCCCAGCCACTGCTCCCAGATTCCCTCATTCACTCCCTTCTCCAGGACACTACAGGACAATCTTTTCTGACCTCTGCTCAATTAGAAGCAAATGCTTAGTGTTTCGCCCTTTTTCTGTAAGTGCCTTAGACCTTAGGGCTTCCTACTAGCTGTTCTTTTTGCTTGGAACACGCTGACCCTGCTCTCGTCCTTGGGGTCTTGGTCCACGCCTGGCCTCTGAGAGCCCGGCCTCCTCTCCCTAGCCAGCCTAGCCATCCCGTCCTCAGCCACATACATCTCTTTGCTTTATTTTCTGTCTGATCATTGTCATTGTTCTGAACCTCCCTTAGTTTGGTTGTCCCCTGCTTCCCTTCCTGAGTGTGAGCTCTGTAGAAGATGCTATCTGTGGTCTAGAATCTAGAAAAGTGCTTGTCCCGTGGTGGACAAGCACTTAAGACTTCATTTGAATTAGTGAATGTTAAAATTCCTGTTTCTTACAGTCCTGTTGAGATTCCTGGTTTAAAAAAAAAAAGTGAGTTGTGGGTTGCATTTTTTTTTTAATTTTTAAAAATTTTCATTTTTAGGGCGCCTGGGTGGCGCAGTCAGTTAAGTGTCCGACTTCAGCCAGGTCACGATCTCACGGTCCGTGAGTTCGAGCCCCGCGTCAGGCTCTGGGCTGATGGATCAGAGCCTGGAGCCTGTTTCCGATTCTGTGTCTCCCTCTCTCTCTGCCCCTCCCCTGTTCGTGCTCTGTCTCTCTCTGTCCCAAAAATAAATAAAAACGTTGAAAAAAAAATTAAAAAAAAAAAATTTTCATTTTTAAAAAAAATTGTTTTTAATGTTTATTCATTTTTGAGAGAGAGAGCACAAGCAAGGGAGGGGCAGAGAGAGAGGGAGACACAGAATCCGAAGCAGGCTCCAGGCTCTGAGCTGTCAGCACAGAGCCCGACATGGGGCTTGAACCCACTAACCATGAGATTGTGACCTGAGCTGAAGTCAGACGCTTAACCTGTTGAGCCACCCAGGCGCTCCCCCCCCCACCCCCCCGCCTTTTTAATTAATAAAGTTGTCGCACACATGCTGTGCTTTGAGAGCGTTGGAGGGCTGCTTCTGCAGGGATGAGGGAGGAAGATGTCATTTGGCTCTGGCCTCTTTGGAGGGAGAAAGGAGGTGCATCTCCTCTGCTCCTGGGTTACACAGTTGGGTGCTCACTGTTGTTCTCCACTCTTGCAGGGCATATGTGGGAGGAGCCGTCTGTCTTCCCTCTGAGTCCCCTTCCTCCTGATGAAGTGCTGGTGACCTTCATGGAGGGATGAGGAGCAGAGGGGCTGCTAGAGGGACTCGGATTTGCCTGGGAACGGCATTTAGATGGCTGGGGTTGATTTAGGACGGGGGACAGAGGACGGATGGGAACCAGGGGTGACAGGCCATGTGTAAAGTATCTCCGTGTGGTATTCCCTTCACTTACTGACTAAACCCGCTTGTGTTGTTTTCAGTTGCCTTTTTTTTTCCCACCACTGAATTTTTGTGGTTATAGGAAACGTTTTTCAAAGCGAATGGGAGGAGATCCTAAGATTATTAAGAAAGCTGTTTTAGCATGTCCTGAGATTCCCTATGGAGTTTTTCCTCTTCTGCTTCCTACGGAGTAAGCCCTTTAACAGACCATGTACAGAGGCTTTTCAAAGGATATTTTTGTTCTTTCTGAATACGCAGCTATTCAAGCTGAGGGTTGGTATGTTTGTAGTTGACCTAATGTTTCAAAGAATGAACTAGTTTAGCTGGAATTTTCCTAAAAGCTGTCCCATTGACATAGTATTGCCTAAATAGAAAAGTGTATGATTTATAATTAGCTTTTCCCCCCTTAACTCTGAATAACAGGCGGAGAGGTTCTTACATTTTAACTTGGTGTTATCGTTTTTGGACAGCTGTTCTCCATGTTGTGTACAAAATACGGTACACACCGGTCTTCTTTTTTCTGGTCCAGTTGTTTTTGCTTGTCAGAAGTGGCCAACGCATTCCGTATTCCAGGTCTGGAATCACTGCCAAGAGCTCTAAACCGATGCCTAGAAGAGAGATGGAAGGGGATAGTCCTGGAGGACTGATTTAGTGTGGAAGAGCGGTTTCAAGTTCAGGGCCAGCCCGAGCAAGCAAGCACCCGGAGACGTTTTGATCACATCTTCACTTCTGCCTCGGGGCTGCGAGAGCCTTGTATGTTTTGTTTGTGGACTTTAAGCAATCTGTTATTACCTTGTGGATAATTACCAGAAATATGAAATTATATGTGTTTATTAACCTTTGCCTTTTCTCCTAAATCTAGGGTGGGGACATTATAAAAATTAAAGGAAAAACTAGGCTCTACTATGTTAATTTGTTATTGTGTTTACTTGAAGTAAAATCTTAGCTGTGTAACCACCTGCCCTTTCCCTCCACACTTCGTACCGTTTGCCAAAAAATAATTTTGGATTGTACGGCAACCCAGGCAAGGGGCTGACGTCTCCATCAGTGTTCCACTGGGGCCTTAAATAATAAAACTCGTTTTGCTGTGTGATGATCTAGAGAGAAATCTGATGGCCAGGCCAGAGGAGAAGGGAGCTTGGGCAGAAATAATAGCCCAAGCAGACATGTTAATAAAATCCAGGCATCAGCTGGAAAAAGCCTGGAGAGAGCAAGAGGGTCTGTGGTGCTAAACCAAGTTCTAGGCCCCCGTTCACTCAGTAGAACAGAAGGACACGCACCAAATACTACTTCTGGATGTGTTGCCTTTAATTTTAACTTTTTGTATTTTTACTGATCTACTTCTTGAGGGAATTGAAGGCATGACTTTGCCTGATAGGTGGGCCTGAAGAGTCATGGCCCCAAGGGAGGGGACAGGCACAAAAGGAAGCAATAACGAGGGATGCCATTCAGGACTTCACACCCGAGCCAAGCTGACAGAGCTTCCGCGAGGCTGGGCAAGCTGGAGCTGCCCCTGAAATTAGGCCCGGGATCCGTGAAGGCTGAAAGAGTCACCAGGAAAAGAAAATGTTTAAGGACCATAACACCACATGCTGTTTGGAGACTTCAGGAAAAAAAAAAAATGTTGGGAAGTTTTTGGGGAGATTTCCAAATCTAAATGACTTTTGAATTAGAGAAAACTGATGGCAGTAGATACTTCTTCCTGAAGTTTTTGGGCTAAATATCTGCCTTTCTTTTTTTGAAAGCAGAAAATCAATGAGTTCACACATCGGGTGTATGTGTGTTATTTCTGGGTTAAGTGGAAGGTGTGTAGATTTGTCTAGCATGTGCTGTTCGCTATACCAGGCACTTGGGAGGAAGTGAAAAAAGTAGAAACAACCTGTGGCCTGGTGGGGCTTCTTGTCAACTCCGAGTAGAGGGGATTGCTCTTGGAGCTCATGTTTGCTTATGGAATTTGTAGAATTTCAAGAGAGGCTGGGCCGGGCGCTGCCTGTGAAACGTTTGTCTGAGGCACACGAACGTGGAAAACCTTGTGAGTGTATTTCACCACAAACACCCGATGTGCCCCCTGCTAACGTTCTTCTCAGCTGAACCCTAAGAGCATCTCCCCCAAGGAAGCTCCCTCAGGTGTGTCCTTGATGTTAACCAGCCTGTGCTCTTTGAGTGCGGTCAGTAATTTAGATTTCTCAGCAGTTCAGATTTGAATGGCTTTTTCTTAGTGGGCAGAGCTTGCTTGGAACTCTTGGGTGGATGGGAGCTTCTTGGCTGTGGGGCATGTTTTCCAGGATTTTGGCTAATGGTGATGGAGGGCAGACAGAGTCCTGCTCCCCTCCTGCAAGTTCGTGCGAAGCCACACCACGCGTAGGCCCGCTGTCTGTCCTGTAAAAAGAAAAGGATGGATAATAAACAAATGAACGAACAAACATTTAAAAAAATAGAAAAACAACCTAAAGTTTTTGTTAAATATTTTGAGAGAGGGAGAAAGAGCATGCGTGAGGGGGGGAGGGGCAGAGAGAGAGAGAGAGAATCCCAAGCTGACAGCACAGAGCCTGTTGCGGGGCTCGATCTCACGACCGAGATCATGAGCTGAGCCAAAATCAAGAGTTGGATGCTGAACCGAC